TAAAATAAGTAAACTTTTATTATTTTATTACCTTTACTTACATATACTCGAACCAAAACAAAAAACCATTCTACTTTTATTTCCATTCCCAAATAAAAGTGTTAAAAAATATTTTATACCTAAGCTATAACTTCAGAAAAATATTTCCTTTGTGCGAGCAATTGAATTGAATGTAAAATCCATGGTAGACTATGGTTAATTGCACTTTGTCTCTGTGCCAATGTGTTTTTACCCAAAACTGTCTAAATTCATGATATAAAAGCTTTTAGGTACCTATAGTCTGAATTTAATTGTAAATTAGTCTCGGTCTAAATCTGAAGTTAATATCTTTGTAACATTGAGTCATTTAATGCGAAAGGTTTTAGTGTGTAATTATTATATAAAATACAACTCGCTTGTAAATATCTTCAAATTTAATAAGAAAGTTATTATAATTAGAAATTATTATAATTTTCAAATGTTATTTCTAATCTGCAGTCCTCATCATTATATTTTTATTGGGTGCAATGAACATACAAATAATTAAAAATAAAAACTAGTGGGGCGCATGGCATCGTGCTTTAAGGCAAATTGCTGGAACTTCCCGTACCGTAACGAAATGTTCGAGGAATATTAAATGTTTTCAAACAGATTATTATAAATTCTGTATAATTGTTAAATATTTATAAAAATTAACTAAACTGAATTGCAAAGTTGAAATTATTTGTTTAAAGTATATTAGAACTTTAGTCAGAATTAAGAATAAAATCTGAATTATTTTAGATATACAAAAAAAATTTTTTGAAAAAAAAAATTTGAAAAAAAAAATTTGAACCAAAAATTTTTTCTTCCAAAATCAATTATTTTCTTAAAACAAGCAAAGAAAGTTCTTTGAATCATTCAAATCGGACGCTTAGTTCTCTCAAAAACTGTCATTTTTGCACATTTAGCTCCGTATCTTCTAAATGGCTTGGCCTGCCTTTGCCAAATACTAATAAACACTTCTTTCAATCATTACTAATTGAATGTTTTTAGATCATTCTGATGGAACGGATGCTCCGTTCTCTCAAAAACTTGATTTCTATTTTTTGTACTCTTTGCTCTTTATCTCCGTAACTGCTGGACCTGCCTTTGCCAAAAACTAATCAGCACGTCTCCCTATCAATAGGAATCGAATGTTTTTTTAACCATTTAAATCGGTTGATCCGTGCGCCCCGAAACGTGGATGAAAATTTGTATCCATACATACATACACACACACATCCATTTTTTCTGAGGCATGCCAAAATGTTCAGAAACCTTTAAAACGTCGAGAAGTTAATGATATTAATCATTAAAAAAATTAAAATATAATAGTAACATCATAGTTAGTAAAAATAAAAATTAAAATAAAATTATAAATAAAAATTAAAGATACAAATTCTAACGCAACGAATAGAAATAAAAAGAGTAATATGTGTTTCAAAACATTTGATTTTTTTATTCATATGACATTTTTACACATTAATAATGATAATAATCATAATGCAAAAAATGAAAAATAAGATATTAAAACGTCTTCAAATGTTTGTGATTATTATATCTTCATTAATAAAGACGATATGAAAAGTAAAAATTGAGAAAATGAACATTAATATAAAGCTAAATTAAATAAAATAAAAATATTCTGATAATTTTATAAAAATCTATATAAGTTCATTAATTCTTCTCATTCCACACTGTATGTATTTATCACATCTCCACCGGAATTATTTACACAATGACCCAATAAATAAAATTTTATTATGAGATTTGCTATGTTTTGCAAACAAATCTGTATTATTTGCGTGCTGACTAGTTGACTATGTGCAGGGCAATAATTTTGACAAAATCATGCAATCAGTCCGCCGAAAAGAGGATTATACTGCGCAACTTATATTACTAAGGATTTTGGTCCCATGCTGTGTCATTATATTGCAGGACATGCAAATCGCCCAGAGCCGTCTATAAAGGACCCATATTATATTTACTTACTATTATTACAAGCGGACGGCTACGAAATTGTTAGGTCAACATTTGCGGACAGATTTTTGAGAGGAGGAAGCTTAGGTCGATGTCGAATGAAACAAGAGGAAATGAGAAGATTTACTTAATTTTTTTTTTGTGAAACACTGACTGTTAAAATATTTATTTACACATTAAAAGTAGGTAAATACAAACGATTTTTTATATGACTATTTTTATTTTAATCATACGAAGAAGAATGTTTTTGAGTTAATTGAAAAAATTAAGTCGATGTCACATGAAAGAGTTTAGAAGAATTGGAAAGATTTAGTTAATTTTTCATAAACAATATTTTTTATATATCTTTATGTTTCACATTTTTTTTGATTCCACAAACGCACATTAGAGTCTCGATTATGTATGGTTTTTTGTGTTTTCTGAACATTCTGAAATACTTTAAAAAAAAAATGGGTGTACATGTGTGTATTTGTATGTATGTGTGTGACTGTGTGTATTCGCATGTGTGCGGATACAGTTTTTCGCCGACTTTTTCGAGAGCGTGGATCTACCGATTTGAGTTATGTAAAAAAAATTCGATTTTTATTGATAAGCAGGTCCAGTCGTTTCGAAAATACGGAGCAAAAAGTGCTAAAAATGCCAATTCAGTTTTTGAGAGAATAAATGAATTAAAAAGCATTTTACTTTCAGTGATGGAATGTATGAATGATTGAATT